CCTGCCTGCTTCTCTGGCCTACTTGCTTCTCCGGCAGGCTGAGCTGGCAGGTCCCAGGGAATGTCTGCTGGTGTTACGGCCTGGGTCAATGCATGATTGGAGGGGAAGATTGGAGGGGAAGATCTGCATGATCTCGTGGAGATGGGGGCAGAGAGGAAGCAGAGGCTTCAGTAGGTGGTGTCAGGTGGTGTGCTACAGAGCTGGGTGTGAGCCTGGGTCCTTGGATTTGGAGGAAAGGAGAGAGGTGAGGATCTGCAGTTAGCCTCCCAGCTTCTCTGGCAGTTTCTACCTGGTTTCTTAAGTTCCTATGAGGCCAATATGCTGTGTGAATAGCTGTGTGTCTCTAAGAGGAGAGGATCACTGAAGGATATTTTTCAGTTATAGCTTCACCTACTTCTCCCCTGATCTCATCTGGCAGGATGGGTAGCAAAACTGAAGAGCCAGGCAAGGATAGCGTTAGTAGGGAAAGCAGACAACACTGAAGGAGAAGTGATCTGTTGTGTTCAGTATAAAATACAAGACAAGGGATGAGTGGTATGGGAGAATCTTAGGAGAGATTAAATGATTCTAACTTATTTCTTTGGAGGAAATATGGACTCACTGGAGAATTTCAACAGCGTTAGTAAGTATGACCCAGTCATGACAAGCTCAATAGAGGCCTGAGTGGCAGTAGTTTACCTTGTTTCCAAGAAAGACCACAAACTGAGACTATCTGGGCACCACCCAGAAACAGATCATCCAAAGGAAATTCCTAAAGTTTCAAATGTTGTAGATAGGATCACCTGCCAGCACACACCCCTCGCTTTTCACCAGGACACTCCTAGACAAATGCCAGCCAATCAGGTGTCCTGAACCTTAGAAATCCCTCATCCCTACCTTTGCTATTTTAAAAACCCAACCCCAACTGAACTTAGGGCTCTCAGATCACTCCACTATGTTGGAAACACAGAAAGACCGAGTTTGCAAACTTGTCCAAGAATCAAGGCTCTTTGCTTTTACATACAGGAGTGGGTCTCCTAGTTGGTTTTGGGGGGGTAACTCCATAATCTGGGAATAACATCAGCTCCCTGAAAACCCATTTCTACCTACCACCTGTATAGGGAGTAAAGGAAAGCAGGCAGGAGAGCGTGGAAGCACAATGCAGGGAAAGGGGTGTGAGCTGAAGCTATGGAAATGTTGACGAGAGTGGTAAGAGCCATGCTCGGGACTTGGGGACCAAGTGCAGGGAGAGTCCAGCAGTGCAGGGGCTTCTGCTTGCCTGTCCCGGGACCTTGTCTTCCTTTCCGTGTTCTTAATGGACCGCAGCAGTGGACTTGGGCAGCGCTGTTCTCAGATACTCTGCTGCCTAAAAGCTACCCTATGCAGTCAAGAATTAGAGCACTGAAGTGGAGATTTAGAATTTGGCATCTGTAAACATCTTTACACTCTGTTCCAGGCTCTGTTAAGTATTTTTTGACCAACAAATCTCTCCACCACCATTGCAATAATCCAAATCATACCAGGTGAGACCAAATTAGAAGACGCCTAGATTTAATGAATGGCAACACTCGCGGGTTCTGTGGGAGGTCCTTCTGTCTATGAGAAGACTAATTGTATCAAACAGCTCTGAGTCGGCTGTCCGAGGGAAACCTCGGGTCCATGCCATAGTGTCGCCACTAAGTCATCTTGGCATGCATTTTAATGTCATCATTTGTAACATTCCTTTGTCTGTATACTTTTAAAAAATATGCATTTTTTCATTTAAAAATGTATGTGTGTGATATGTGTGTGGTATATGTGCACATATGCGTGGGTACACACAGCCACACACACATGTAGTAGATGCAAGGGACAGACATTTGGTGTCCTCCTCTATACTATTACACTATTTTCTTGAGACAGCGTCTCTCACTGAACCCGGATCAAGCTCTAGCGATTCTCCTGGCTCCCTCATCCTGAGGCTATAGGTTATAGACTCATGAGGCCACACCTGGCCTTTTACTTCTTTTCTGGCTGTTTAATCTCAGGTCCTCATGCTTGTGCGGCCAAATCCTCTCCCTCTCTCCAGTTAATTTCTTGACCTTCCCCAAACACCCACTTTGAGTCCCTAACATATACAGCCAATAGACTGTATGCTAGCTTTATTTTTGCTCTAAAGGACCTCCATTCTTATGTGTACAGTGACTACTTATGACCCCACCAATAGTGTATGAAGTCTTCTTCCTCCAGTGTCCTGGCCAGAATCTGGAATTTGTACTTACTGATATATCCATACTGGCTGTGGCGTGGTGGAATTTCAGTGACTTGCATATGCTTTATGGTTAAAGATTTTAGATGTGTTTATTAGCTATTTATTAGATGTGTGTGTGTGTGTACGTGTGTGTGCACGCGTGCATGTGTTATGCATTTGCTTGCAACCGTGGAGACCCTGCAGTCCCCAGCAGGTGTAGTTCCTCGATTGCTTTCCTTATTTCTTGGTTTACTAATATTTGAGGCAGGGCCACTCACTGAACCTGATGCTCATTGACTTACATAGGCTGGCTAGCCAGTGAGCTTGAGGCTTCTTTGCTCCCATTTTCCCTGTGCAGAGGTTACAGGAGTATGTTTCCTACCCCTGGCTTCTTCTGCAGGGGCCCAGACCTCAAGCTCTCCTGCTTGCATAGCCGGCCCTTTACTGCATGTTAGTTTGGATGAGAAATGGTCCATACAAACTCGTGTAGTAACACTTGGTCCACAGCTGGTGGTGCTATCTGGGGCGGTCTAGGAAGTGCAGTCCTGCTGGACATGTGCATTGGAGGTGGGCTTTGAGAGTTCATAGCGTTGCCCAAATTCCGGATCACTCTTTGCTTGGTATTGAAGATGTGGTTTCTCAGCTTCCTGCTCCAGCCACCATGCCTGCAATCTCGTGTCTTCCTGCTCGGATGCACTCCTAGCGTTCTGGACTGTAAACCTTCCTGCTCGGATGCACTCCTAGCGTTCTGGACTGTAAGCCCCAATAAACGCTTCCCTCTATAAGCTGCTTTGGTGCTTGTATTTTCATCAGAGCAACAGAGAGTAACCATTTCTCCAGTCCCCACTTGTACTTCTTTTCAGAACTGTTTGTTTAATCCATTTGCTCATTTGTTGACTTGGTTCTCTGTTTTGTTGTTTATCTTTGAGTTCTTTGTGCGCTCTGGATATCGATCCTTTCCCAGATGAGTAGCGGGCAAAGCTTTTCCCTCATTCTTCAGACTGGCTCTTCTCTCTGTTAATTGTCTTGTGCTATGCCTTTTAATTTGTCACAGCCCCGCCTGTCAATTGTTGCTAGTGTTTCCTGAGCAGTTAAAGTCCTATTCTGAAAGTCATTACCTATGTATGCATTCGAGGTGTTTTCTTATGCTTTCCTTAAGAAGTCTCAAGGTTTTGACCTTAAGTACTTTGATCCCCTTTGCACTGGTATTTGCACAGGATGAGGGACAGGGATATAGGTTCATTATTCTATATGTGGATATCTAGTTTGATCAGTATTGTTTGTTATGAGGTTGTCTTTTTTTCTAATATATGTTTGTGGCTCCTTTTTCAAGAATAGGATGGAGTCCACGGTGCTGGAATTACAAGCATGCGACAAACCCAGCCCCCTTTCCAAACCTTCCTTTATCATCGCAAACAAATAAATAGATCCAGGGAGGCTGGTCAGGTAGCTCAAAGGGAAAGGGTGCTTGCCATCAAGCCAGCCTGAGTTCCAGCCGGGTGACCCTAATGGTGGCATGAGGGAACTGACTGTCCAAAGTTGTCCTCTGGCCTCCAGACTTGCATGATGGCATTCATGTGTCCCCATACACACAGTAAACATTAAAAAAAAAACACCATTAAAGGCAGACATAGGAAAAAAAATAGTATGTATGTAACATTGTGTGTTTATTTCTGGTTCCCACCAAGAATATGTAAAAATTGTAAATATGTATAGATCGTTTCTTTTCTCAGTGGCGTTATCTCCTTTGATGATTTTGAGTTGAAGTCTACATGGTGAGAGACGAGTCTGCTTCTGATCAGTTTTAGCCTCCACCCCCTCGTTAAACCATTTCACTCTACTGTTCCTTTCCGCCCGCGTGTGTCTCCGTCACAAGGTGATTTATTGACGACAACCAACAGTTGGATTGTGTTTCTCAATCTATTACTAGTCTGCCCTGTTCATAGTAATGGTGGACCATTAGCATTTATGGTGCCATTCAGTTATTTATGGTTCTGAGTTTTGCAGTTTTCTTGTGTTTTCTCCTGGTTATTTTGAATAGTATTTGTTCTTCTTCATCCTTATTCATCTTAAGAATTGACTCCCTTACTGAGTTGAGCATATCTGGTCTTTTCCTATTTCTCAGTTTGTTCAAAGGAGTTTATTCTTTCCTTAACTCTTGTGTGTGGGTTTCTTCCTCTTGTTAGTATAGGACTTCTTTAGGCATGTCATGAATGGCTAGTCTAGTGGTCATGAGTTGTCTTAGGTTTTCCCTTGTCCTTATTTTAGAAGAGTCTTAGATCTTCACTGGTTTTAAAAGATATTTTATTAGATATACAAATTTTGGCTAGGCTGTGGTCACACACACCTTTAATCCCAGCACCAGGGAGATTTCTGTGAATTCAAGGCCAGCCTGGTCTACATAGTGACTTCCAGAACAGCTATGGCTACACAGACAAGCATTGTTTTAAAAAAAACAAAAAAGAAAATAGAAAGAAAGGAAGGAAGGAAGGAAGGAAGGAAGAAAGAAAGAAAGAAAGAAAGAAAGAAAGAGAAATCTTGGCTGCAGTTATTTATTTTGAGAGCTTGAAACACCAGTGCATTTCTTGGCTTTAGGATTTCTTAGGAAAGGTCTCTTGCCATTCTGATGAGCTTGCATTTGTAAACCAGCTGGTATATTTCCCAATTCTTTGGTTATTTATTTATATCTACTGCTTTTGTGTTTGGCATGGTATTGTTTTCCCAAGACCCCTAATCTACATCATTAAATTATTTAGTTGAGAACGCTGACTTTTTTTTTTTTTTGATGTAGGTCCCTAAAGATGAAGGTGGAGAGAGCTGGGTGGAGCTGCAGGCTATGGAAACGGACTGACGGGCCTAATTGCTGCATTTCTTTCTGATTCCGCCATTCCTTCCAACCTCTTAGAATTCAGCGTCTTTCTTGGAGTCCCATTCTCCCCTCTGTGTCTTTCCTAGTTCAGATACACGTGGTGGCAGATCTCTGAGTTGAAGACCAGCCTAGACTACAGAGCAAATTCCAGGGCAGTCAAGGCTACAGAGAGAAACCCTGTCTTGATAAATAAACAAACAAACCACTGCTGTATTGGCAGACGGGCAGTGCTGTGCAGGCAGCCTCAGCGGCTGGTCACACTTGCAATTGATTGCCTTTAAGGTTGGGGTGGCTGCTGGCCCGCCCCTATGCAGATCTTGCCAAAGTCTTGCTTGCTGTTTGGAGTCCTTGTGAAAGCTACTGTCTATATTTTGGTTCCCACTAGCTTTTCACCTCGCAGAAATTCTTTTATGCAGCCTCTCGAGACCTGTTTATCAGGCTTTGGTGTGTGTCATCCACGATTTTTGGTTTGCCATTCCCAAGAGGTCTCAGGCTGCCAAGACGATGCAACAACAGAAATCATTTGGCAATGTTTTTTCTTTTGGTTTTTTTCCATCTTCTCTGTTGCTTTCCAGGGCTGAACACCCAGAACCAAGTGGAGTGGATTTTTTTCTAGCTTCTGCTATTGCCAGCGTTGTCCTGGGTATTGAGTCACCCCCTCCTCCACACCCTCATAAACATGCAGTGCGCCATCACTCCCTCCCCCATTTGGGGTGCCCACTGCTTTTCTCGTAGCTCTTCTCAGCTTTCTCCAGGTTGTTTTCTGGAGATGATCCTTTCCTACTTCAGGGTTGCTCCATGTCTTCTGTTCTCATGTGCGTTTGTTAAGGTGTAGAACGGGTGTGTGTAAATTTGCAGATGGCCACGAGATGTCGCTCTACACCCGCGGTATCTGTTCTGTTACTGACTAGGGATGTTTAAGCGGTGGGTTTCTGAGTGACAGCAGTCTTGAGCTGTTTTTTTGGAGTGCAGTAAATGTATCGCATCCTTCATTAAGACTTGAAGGAATACAAAATCAAACACTGTGCCTGGGAAGACTCTCTAAGGATTTATGCGTCGGTTATCTATTTTCTTTATTGTTCAAAATTCTCTACGACATTCTCTTGCCTCGATTTGCCTGGATAGTCGCCAGGTGAAAAAAGTTATGCAGCAATATCTGTATGCTAGTAGCTGTTTGAAATGATTTTCAAAACTTTCAGGAAGATTTAACTTAGTTATGGACATACAGGTTTCAGACTTTTTCGTACACTCAAAACTCATTACAACTAGTTTTTCTTTAGTGTGATGATTGTATGAATAACACCATCTCTGTAAGTGTGAACCCTGTTAAGAAGTTGAGCCTGTTTGTAAGAAGGCATTCAGTAATAGTTTTTGTTTTTTAAATGAATAAGTTGGAAGAATAACTTGAAATTTTGACGAAAGGCTATTTTGTAACACTTGTTAAATGCCCTTAAGAATGATCTGGTCCCTTCTTTATTTTATTTTAATGATAATGGCATCAATTTAATAAAGGTAATGGTTTAAAAATAGCCTTAGACTTATTTTTTATTTTAGTTGTAAAAATACTTGTTTTTATTCTTATCTTATTTAAAAATTCCATATATGTGCATTGTATTTTCATAGTTTCCCACTTCCTTCATGGCCTCTTTTAAGTTATTATTGTTTATTTATATATGAACAAATCAATACATAAATACAACCTGCTGAGTTCATTCAGTGTTGCCTGCATGTGTATGTTTTTAGGGCTGACGGCTTGGCATTGGCTACCAAATGAGGGTGCTCATCCTTGAAGAAGCCTAATTCTCCGTCTTTGACCAGTCACTAATTGCCTGTAGCTCTTCATCTAGGGCTGGGGTCCTCTGAGGTTCCCCCATCCATCTTGTGTCCACACGTCAGCTGGTGTTAGCCTTGTCTAGGTCTTGTTTAGGCAACGGTACTGTTGAGATTTTCACAGCTTCTCTGCTGCATGTAGAAGACAAAAATCCCAGAAGAGGCCCTGGTCCTCTGCCTCCCACAGCCTTCTCTCTCCCTCTAGTGCAGCCGTCCCGAGCCTCAGGTACAGGCCTTGTGCTCAGACGTCAGTTGGGGTTGGGTTTCCTCTAACACGGAGCAGTTCGCAGCAGCGAAAGTTCTCGCGAAAGTTCTCGTGGTTTGAGCACAAGTTGAAGAAATACTTTCCCCTAAGAGTTTGGTGACCGGGAAGACACGGGATGAGGACGGGAACAAACACTGGGGGCTCTGCTGCTCTGCGGGAGCGAATTCTGGGCAGTGAGTTCGCAGAGTCTTGGAGACCAGTGCGGTTCTGGGCGGCTCTGCTGCAGTTATAGGACTCCTGGCTCTAGAAATGCGGGCCATCAGGGCTGTGCCGGAAAGGCATTTCCTCCCCTTCAGAGACAGGCATCGCCTTACTTGCCTCATGAATCCCGAATCGTCCTTCCTAGCTTCTCCCTTCCCTTCTCCTTTTCTCTTCTGGCCACATCTGCTTATTTTAAAGAAAATTGCTGCTGACATATGTTTTTGGTTACAACAAGTATTCTGGGGACATAAACTATTTCTTGAAAAACTTCATGCTAAACGTGTGTGTGTGTGTGTGTGTGTGTGTTTTACTTACTAACAGCGTGCTTTCATAACTCCCCAGCAGACTGTTTTGATATTTATTTGCTTTTTCTTCCTTGAACATCCTGATTCATTTTTATCTGATACCAGCTCTATTTATGGCAATCAGCTGGTAACTTCGTCTCACAATTGCCCTGACGAGCTGCATACAAGAAGAGTGGTCTTGGTCGCGATGCTGGTACTTGCCTGAGTCACAGCTTGCGTCAGCAACTGCACACTGATTTGTGATTCACTCACATCCTCTCTAACCTCCCACTTAAGCTATGGCTATGGTGATAAATAAGGAATGATATTTGGTTTTTAGTAGAAAACCTAAGTAATTTCCAGTGAGCTGCTATGAAAAGTTCTGAAAACTTCAAACAACAGTCTTTATCTGTATTAATGTGTAGAAGGAGCGGTGGGCCGCTTCCCGCCACCCGTCTCCCAGTTAGCTTTACCCCTGAAATAATTACACGGAAACTGTATTCTTTTAAACACTGCTTGGCCCATTATCTGTAGCCTCTTATTAGCTAACTCTTACATATTGATCTAACCCATTTCTAATAATCTGTGTAGCACCACGAGGTGGTGGCTTACCAGGAGGATTCTAACCTGCAGCTGTCTCGGAGAGGAGAGTCATGGCGACTGCCTCATTGTCTTTTTCCCAGCATTCTGTTCTGTCTACTCCACCTATCTAAGCTGCTATCCTATCAAAAGCCAAGGCAGTTTCTTTATTAACCAATGAAAGTAACACATAGACAGTTAATCCTCCTCCATCATTAATGAATCATTTTTTGCCCTGTTTTTATAGCTTGTTTAAAGCCATTCTTAGAGGGTTTATCAAAGTGACTACTAAGTAGTCATATGGACAATAATCCATTGAGTTTTTACAAGTTGGGAAAGAATGTGTTTTTTTTTTTTTTTTCAGATGGAGAGCTGAACCTGAGGGGCCATAGGTACCTTTAACTCAGTTAAATAACTCAGGACTCTGATACAATAGTTGATTTTAAAGTGTGCTTTGGAGGCAGGGGATATGCTCAGGGGTTCTTTGCCTAGGATGTTCAAATAGCTGGGTTAGATTCTCATACCAAACAATAAGCAAAATCAAAGCAAACATACCTGGGGGTTAGTTTAATTCCTTAAAAACTCATTTATTTGGAACCTGATATCTGCTCCTTTATGGGTTACATTATGGTAATTTGATACACCAGAAGTCAGGTTCTCTGAGCCACAGAATGCAAGAAAAACCTTCCCTAGGACCCTGTGGTAGGGCGATGGAGACCCCTGTACCAGTAGCACTAGAACCCACAGTTCGGTGGCTAACAGGGTGGATGTGGACCTTTCCGAGTTCCCATGAATGAGCACAGGTAATACTGGAATCTATGCATCATTAATCATGAACTCTCAAGACTATATAATGTAGGGGGGAAAAAGCTGGCTTAAGTCTCTCAGGGACGGTTCTAAACTTTGGGTTTTATAGCTCTGGAAGCCGCTTCCCCAGATCTGTGGGACCCATATGATGCCTTTTCCAGAACTGAGGGGATAAATCAGGTGTGTCAGGGCTTTGGGCAGCAGCAACAGCTGTTGGTCCAAGAGTGTGGGCCTCATGACACATGTAGCTAGCACCTGCCCTTATGGGCTGGAATGTCCACTCCTGGAGATGGGGGACATGCCAGGGCCTTGGGCTAGGCGTGGGTTGTGGTGTGTCTTGTGTCTTCGGTGTCTATGGTCCTGGGATTTTAAGATGTGGGTGGAAATGCGCACAGAAGAAAGCATGGATGGCGTGAGGCTTGCAGTGTTGACACTCACCATCCTAGCGCTGTGGGATGCAACTAGGACCACCCCCAGCTCCTGATGGATAGGTACAAGTAGAACCATAGCTCCAGCTGAGGTCTGGGGATGACGGTCAAGAGCAGGCGTGACTCAGGCTGATGGTGATGGAAGCCTTTATTCTGGAAGAGGAAGGAGGCGTGTACTGGCCCAAGGGCTTCCGATGACATCAGAGGGACAGCTACCAGCCCTGAAGGCAAGATGACATCTTTGGTGGTTGTTGCTGCGGATCAGATTCTTGGGTCTGGGAGAGGCACAGTGTGAGCTCCTTGTTTGCAGCAAAGCTGTCGCTCCTAGACCAGGCAGTTTCCCAGAGCGGGTGTCAGACCCGTGGGAATTCCACTGCTAGGATGGGGGTTCCTGGTGGCCTTTTTCTCTTAGCTTTTCCTGGAAGGATGGATTGCAGAGGAGGGCTGAAGTTCCTTCTCTCAGATGCCCTTCTGCCTCTCCTTGCCGTCTCTCTTCACGTGCGGGTTCACGGCCCTCCTCCCAGCGTTCTTCTCGGAGCTGAGTCTTTCCTTGGTTTCCCTGGCGCTTGCCTGTGGCAGTCAAGGACAGGCACTCTATTCAGCTGTCTCTGCCTAGTCTTCTGCTTCCAGTGTTAGACCTTAAAGTCTGTGGTGTTCTCCACTTCCCAGTTAAGGCTGCATAGAGCTGAGAGGTCCGGTGTACACGACGGGATGGAGACCAGACTTTCCCCTGCAGCTTGTCACCACTGTGCACAACAGCTCAGCAAAGCGCCACTGTCACACATCCTTTACATGGAGGGAGAAGAGTGAGGCATGAGATACAAGACCCTCTTAAGTGTGTGTGTGTGTGTGTGGGAGAGAGAGAGAGAGAGAGAGAGAGAGAGAGAGAGAGGGTGTGTGAGTGTGCATGTGAGTGAGTGTGTGTACTGTGAGTGTGTGAGTGTGTAGCTGTGTATGTGAGTGTGTGGGTGTGTAAAAGTGTGTGTGTATGCTTTGTCTTCATTGCATGTGAGTGTGCCACAGAGGCGCAGTGCCTGCAGAGGACAAGAGGGCATCAGATCGCCAAGAACTGGAGTTAGCAATGGTTGGGAGCCACTGTGTGGATACTGGGAACTGGACCCAGGACCTCTGCAAGAGCAGCAAGAGATCTTAATTGCTGAGCCATCTCTCCAACCCTGCCATAAGAGAATCTTGGCGTGGATCACATTTGTTACATTGGAAATAATGTATATACTTTATATATATATATATATATATATATATATATATATATATATATATGAAATCCACACTGGGTGACTTGTGACCGTCTGTCACTCTGTTTCCAGGGATCTAACTCCCTTTCCTGTCCTCCATGGGTACTTGCACACATGAGTGCATACACATGAATACACAGACACACATACATACGAAGCATATACATTTTAAAAATCTTTCTTTAAAAATGATAATGTACAGGATAAGGATGGATGCTGAAGATGTTAAAGCTCGTGGCTCTTCATCCTGGAAAGCCCTGGTGTGATGTGAGACAGGGCACAGCTGTAGAATAAGGTAGACAAGAAGCTGCCTTCTATGTGTGCTGGCGTCTTGGCAGCATCTCTCATGAATATGAGTGGTTTGGGTTTGGAGCCATCAACCCTCCCTGAGGCTTTCTCGGTTGAGGAGCGGGTCCACTGTGAAGTATAATCCCACTATTTCAGTATAAGCCTGTTGACCGTGAGGATGAAAATGTAGAATTTCTCCCGGCTTTGAAGTGGTGTGGAAGGCTTGTCTCCATACCCCAGATTGTTCCTATCTCAGCTCTCAGCCCGTTCGGCTGCTTTGGTGAGACATGTGCTATTTTTAGTTGTGAAGATGGCTTTCTTGAATCACTGGCACATGCACTATACATTTGAGGAAATAAATGTCAATTTATCTGTGCATGTTTAATTTTCATTAAATTAAAATGCTGTATTTAGGAGACACAGTCCCTTTAATGGAAGTAGTTTCTCATTGAAGGGGGTTTTTCAGGCGAAGGCCCTTTTCTATAGAGTTAGTAAGTAAATTTAACAGAGGATATAGAAGTTCCAGTTCTGACTTGAGTAGGAGACCAATTAACGCTTACATCAACTTAAGGGAAAGTAGGGACGGCATTT